CGAGTTCTTGTTACATGTGATCGGGCACTAAAAATACTCAGCTGTATTATACTACAGGAGTATTTGACGAAGCAACAAATAAAAAATGTATTCTACATTGAGGACATCCAGCTGAAGCTTATCTAACAATAATTAGTTAATAGTTATTTACTTATTACAGTGAAATGAGCTTGTATTTATAGTGAGAAAGCAGTAGTCAGGAGTGTAGTGCATTTTTCGTATAATCTTGGATGATTGTGTGAAAGTTCTAATACAAGGAGAGATAAATCGGCTATAGGTTATTGTTGGCATAATAGCATCAGTATTTCACAGTGAGGAGAGGGTTAATGAATTTCTTCAAAAAGATGAGTCTTCAGCCTGCAAATGAGGAGTGACTCTGTATGCTCTTTTAGGAAAAACCTAGAAGAAATGACCATAAACATTTGAAAGAGCAGACCTTTGCACAGCGGTTTCAGATTATGTCTGCCTGACGAGAATCCCGATCTACACTCGTCAGACTTTGATAGGAAAGGCTTCATCCCTGTATAGGAACCATGACAAGGTCAAATACTAGTCAGAGCGTTGTAAGATTGTGTAAGGTTGACTGCCTCCCTTGTCAGCTGTAGATCAGTAAAACGGATGGATAAGTGGAGTGTTACAGTGCTGTCAGAAAGCCAGGCCAGAGCAGTTTTGGTGAATAGCTGATAGAGTCATGGTACTTTGATGTAGCTCAAATTAAGACATGCCTGCTCTTGCTTGTTACTGAAAGATACATCATCCTGGAAATATTCTGATGGGGTTATTATTTATTATTCTAGATTTGTCTCATCTGTGACTGCAATTCTGTCATACTGATGTAAAAACTGTCCTTACAATGTAGATACAAAGTGCATGGCCTTAATTATCTCATTTAAGATCAAAGAGGCAAACAAAGTCTCTTTCAACACAATTGGTGCTCCCTTGTTGAGAATTGTTTGGACCCCAGTTGAGTCTGCTTTGCTGGGAGACATTTTCTGAAATGAAAGGCACTAGTTGTGATTCTGACAGACACAAGGCCCACATTTGATGGCTGCATCTCCGGAGCCTTGAACTAAAAAGGCTCTCGTCCTTGTGGGAGTGTATTTCCAGGATGGCACTGGAGGATATTAGATCCTGTTTTTTTTAACAAAGCGGCGCTGCTCCAACACTTCAAGGTTCAGGGAAGAAACTGTGTGACATGATTTCAGTCTGGCTTATTGTGATCCCCATCTGAGCACTGTAGGGCGAAAGAAACTACAACAAAGAGTGTAAAAATACCACAATGGATTTAAAAATAGGTTTTGTAAAAGGAAATCCAGTGCTGCTACAAGATTTAGCAACATGTTTAGGTGTCACAACTCAACTGCAGAGTAGTGCTGAAAGAATTAAAGATCGTTTCTTATTGTTGTTTGGTGCTGAGAAGAGGCTGAATGATGTGCAGTAATAACCTTGGCTAAGTTTAGGAGTGAGTACGACTCTGTGAAAACAGTTGTGTAATGTCTCCCGTGGCTCTGGGCGAGCTTTCCAGAATTTGAAACAAATAACCCTGTCATCACGGTTTGTCATCGGCTTGGCTTCAGACTTAAAACTGTAGGTGTGAGGTTTGAAAGAAGTGGGCTTTCAGGAGCTGGGGGTCTAATGAAAGATGAATTGTGTTGCAGTATGGGAAATTGATTTTATTTTTCTGCTGCTTGACTTCCGACTAGAGACGTCGCTTCCTCTGCTGCTTCAGTTTGGACCAGCCCTTGTTTAATGCGTCTCTCATTAGTCCCCCAGCTTTATAAAAGTGTAATACTAAATTGCTGGACTACCCCTTTAATAGACAATTTGTACTCAGTTAATTGTCATTTATCCAGGAAAAATATCAACTGTTTCTAGCTACTCAAATTTTAGGATTTGCTGCTTTTGTGTTTTCTCTCCCTTGGACAAAACAAGATCTTCACTATGGACAGTTGTTAGGGGCATTTTTCACTCTTTTCTTTTAGAATTGTGGAATGCAGACACTATTTTATGTTGGTACAGGTTTGACTTTTTTCAGAGCAGACATTTTGACTTTCTAAGTAGGAAAAGCACAGGTGTAATCAATAACCTTAATAACAACTGCGTTCCATTAGATTAGCAGTTCCAGGTCCCTGCTTGTGTGTGTTGGTTCACTGTTGTGACTCAGTGGGACACTGAATGGAACTGAGCCATTGTTAATGTTATTAGTAACACCTGTGCTTTTCCTGTGAGTCAAAATGTCTGTTGTGAAAAGGGTCTATACCCAGAGACTGAAGCAGCTAATGGAATTCATCAGTCATTCATTGTCTAACTATTTATGCCTGTGCTTGTCCTCCTGTGACGTGCCAAGATGTCGTTATGAGGAAAGGGTTTGTTCTCACTAACTGGAGACCATAAAAACTTCTAGATTTACCATCACTGCCTGTAACAGCACAGGATTAACTCATGTATTTGCTTTGGCTTCCAGGTGGTCGGCGGTCTCGATATACACAAAAAGATGGTTGTGGACGTGTGAGCGCTCCTCCGCTTGCTGACTCCCCCCCCTTCCTCCTCGACACTCGCTTTCTCCACCATCTCTGAAGATCTGCTCAAGACGTCCGGCAAAACGCTCTCTGTGTAACTCAATGGAAGTATTCTCTCTCTTTCTCTTCTCTCTCTCTCTCTCTCTCTCTCTGTGAAGCCACTTTTTCTTTCAGAAACCACAGGCCTCGTGAAGCCAACTTTGAAGTGTTATTGAACTGTTAATCCTCTCAATAACCCGGTCGTAGCACTTTAAGAGACTGAAGGACATCTATTTGTCATTCGCAAGAGCACCTCCGATTTTGGATGAGGGGGGAGAAAGGAGGGGAAAAGGGGACGCAGTGAAGAGGCTGGTTGGCTTGTTCATATTTCATCCTCTTTTTTTTGCTAATTGTTATTTTTGATATTTATTTTTTGTTCTTGTCTTTTATAAAGAAGAAAAAATACAAGTATATCTATGGTTGTCTCGTGAGGGGAAGTGTATAGTATTTTAACACTTGACTTACAGTACAACTAGAAAGTAGGGTATGAAGTGCCAACCAGAACATATCCAGAAACCAGTCCAAGTTATTACCTTCTTATCTTCACCGCTGTCATCGATGCTGGACAAACCGGCTCACGACACCTCCGAATGCACGACTGCGAGTCCCAATGGGTGCAAAAGTCAATTTCAATGTAATTTTCAGACATTTGGTTCTCCGTTTTAGCTTACGTACGAGCAGTTTGGATTAGACCAGTAAAGCTTCCAGTCACTCTTTTTTTTTTTTTGTGGTAAGATTGCTAGTTTTATTCATACTGAAGAATGTGTTTATATTGTTGGAGATTATCCTTGTTTCCTGTCATGAAATTATTATAGGTAGATACATTAATGCCAAGAAAATGTCTTTCCAAAATCATTTGTGGCTGCAAACTGATTCATGGTTTACTCTTGGTGAAGCATTTTGCGTTTAACAGTGAGCATCCATAAGACAATCTGCAATGCAAAGAATAGCTCTGCACTCACGCTGACAAACGAACTGAACTCTACAGAGTTACAAGACTTTTATTAAACGTCAAGAACAGAGGCCGGACGGACTTGGCTAAGAACTGAGTAAGTAGTTTGGGAGTGAATAATGGGATTATACACCATTTGTGCGAGTATATAGCAATTTAAGAGACTTATCTGCAGGCAGCATTTTTTAAACCAATATGTGTATATTAGGTAATCAATGTGTGCTCATCTTCTTCAACAGCAAGAGAAGGCTTTGCCGCTGCTTTACATGAGCCCTTCTGAATACTTACCATTATGAGTACTGCGCTAGACGGGAGTTTTCTTTAACGCAACACGAACACTTTAAAATCTTAACACGTTGGCATGATCAGTGTGCAGTGGGATAGACTGTATATTGTAGTTTTATTTTTTTGTTTTTTTGTTTTTTTTTTTTTAAAAAGGTGTACATTTCAAAAGTTGGCTTCTTCTCCCACTTATTTTTTTCCTGTCACAATCACCTCAATTTCTCCTCCTCCCACCCACAAATACGAACAGGGAGAACAACTTAAAATTTAACCAAATTCTAACTTCTAAGGGAAAAATGCTTCCTACTATAAACGACATCGGGATAGCTTTGTTTTGCTTTGGAGGCCAACTGCTGGTTTGAACAGGAGTTTTCAGTCAGAGATGTGAATCTGGAGTGCTCTGTCGTTGCCTCATCCCAAAGCTCTGTACGGCTTGGGCCTCCCTGTGCTTGCATGACATGGAAATATATTTTTTGTTGTGCATGTAGATCAATTTTTTGAAATAATCCTCTTGTTTACACATGGATGGTGATGTTAATATATTTAAGAATTTAATGGTATACAATATGGATGTTGCCAAACTTTGGTAAATGTACACATATTATGAGAGGTAATCCAAATGAACTGAACTACATGTAACTTTTTGTATTTTTACCCGGGTCAGCGAGATGCTTCTATTCCAGTAAAAGTTGCATATCTGATCCCGTCTCAAACTGCCACACACTGTACTCAGCTTAAAGGGGAAAATTTGATGTTTTTTTTTTTTTTTTTTTTTGTATATAAGTATTTGTTAAATGCAGTTCTGGCTCTCTGTTCTCTGTATAGTTCAGACCACGCTTTAGTTTGTAGGTGCTACTTTTTCTCTGAGGGACTTCTTTTTAGTTCGTGTCGGGATATCTGAGAAGATTTAAGTTTGAGAACCTTTTTTTTCTTTTTTTCTGCATGCTGCATCTTATGCTGTGGGACTGTTGGAAACTTGATACTGTATGAAAATTAAAATTTAAATAAACTTTGAAATGTTGAAAGTAATGGGTTTTCTCTCACTTTTTTAAAACCTTGTTTCCCTTCAGGATGTTACTGACTGGAACCATAATCACAAACTGGATTTGTCAGTGGGTAGCAGGCAGTCATCTATAAGTTGTAATGACTAAGTTCCTGGCCTGAAACCTGACATCTTATATACTTTAGTAACTAAATTAACTCATTGGTAAGTGGGAATTGAAATTATTTATTTACACAAACTCTCTGTGCTTACAGATAATTGCATGAATCACCATTTAGCCTAACATGTTACAACCAGGTGACTGCCTTAAACATGAGGCCATGATAGAGGAACCTGAGGTGTGGGTCCAAAAAGGTTTAACTCTTCAACACAGATCAAAATGGGAATTCCACCAGCCAACGGGGGAAAAGATAAATACGCACAGCAGCCAGTAAGATTTCAAAATCTCTCCGCAGTCCGGCTAGCCACCACCCTGATGTTGCCGTAGACCTTTGAAGGTGGACTTCCTGTAGGGGCAAAAATGGTTAAAAGGTCACATCTCGGCACCACATGTGGATCCAAAGAGTTCTGTTCCAAACATGACATCAACCTTAGTTTTAACATTAATCATTTTTCTTACCTAAGATTAAGTTACATATCGCCGTCCGGGCCATCTTGATATTCTGGAAAGACCCTAATATGTGAACTTTTCTGTGAAGAGACAGGTTGAATGCTTCAGTTAGGAGAAACAAGAAATTAGACATTTCTCTGTGGTTTAACAACTTGTACACCAACACAAGGAATCAGTATAATTATGGACAAGTAAATCTATCTCCTGTGTTCATATGTAAAAACATCATGTGTAAGTAGATAGTTTCTGGTCATTTATAGTTCATTTGATTTTACAGCTGTTATCCACAAAATGTTTTAGTTTCTTTGGAACATGTATCTTAGTGCATGACAACAAAGCAAAAACTGGATTTTTACAGTGGTGGAACTTTGATATGCAATATGTTAAAATGTAAAAGTGCCATAAAGTAACAAAAAAACAAACCATATAGTTATATATTTACAGTAATGGTGCAAGAATAGTTAAGCGTACTCACGCGTCTGCAAGCACAATGCGAGTCTTTGTGACGTTTTCAATGGTGAATTTGGTTTTTCCTCCCTTCCCTGCTATTCTTCCGATGGCTCTGGATAAGTGGTCTCCCTTCAGAGGTTTCACTACCAAGACAGACAACAATAGAAGACAATTAAATACACACAAAGAGACTGGACACAGTTCATTCTGCAGCAGTGAAATAAAAGTGTTCAATAAACAGTAAACAACGAGTTTCAGAACAGACAGAAGTACCGTGTCAGTGTCATCTTACCGTCTGTCACATCAAAGCTTTCCAGGAAAAGCTCGTCTAATCTGATGAGAGCTAGGGCGTCCTGGTAAAGACAGAGTATGAGTGTTACTACACAAACTGAAATCTAACAAGATCCAAGGAACATTCACAAAACAAACATCACAAATCAAATATTGTGACAGCATCTGAGTTTCTGTCTATCCAAAGTAACATATGGCGACTACAGTCAAAGCTGACAAAGATTACACTTGATGAATGGAACAGAGCTGACCTTTTTGTTTGAACAATTGGCCTTTGAATTAAGGAAACTTTCCATTAGTGTACTTACTTCGACCTGGAATCCTAGAACAAACGCTCTAACAAAATCTGTCGCCTTTGTCAGTGAGCCGATGTCCTGTGTGTCTTTGCATGTCTGAAAGAAGGAAGGTATATTACACAAACTGTAGACACAACTGTGAGTACCAGAGAGAAACTGCACAGGTGGACATTAATGTAAAAAGGCTCAGTCATATCGACACTGTGTATGTGCGCTGGGGAAACTTACTTTAATTTCAACATTCCTCGTTTTGAGGTTGAATCTAACTTGAAGCTGTAAGTTCTCTACAATGGGGGTGAAAATCTTCAGCCAGTTCTCCTTCAGCGGGGTGTATCTGTGAGCTGGGACAGCGATCTTGCGCATCTCATCTGGTCCCTGAAACACACATAAAAAACATAAACAACCTGTGTTCTGTGCCACTAAACTGGGATTTCTTTAAATACCAGTTACTTAGTTACTTCTTGTTACAAGTTTTAATAAAGCCTTGATGTAAAACACACTCCATAAGGAATCGGTACAAGTATTAGCAGCACAATGTACTTAGGGATTAAAAATAAGGCACACTTGTCAATGTGGCTGCAAACAAATAAATTAAAATAAGTTGAGGGTGGTCTCACTAATGCTTACACTGCTGATACTAGCTGTGAATACTTCATTACTTTATCCAGTGTTTTGCATTGGAAGAATTTATTCTACAAAGTAGATGACGGCAGGTATTACATAAGAGTGTCACATGAAAATTAAGATTTCATAAAAAAAAAAAAAAGAAAATACGGTACTAAAGTAAAGTGCAAGAGGAACGAGAAAACTTTAGTGTTGTGCTTCCCTCCTGCGTTATTGGTACAACTTACAGCAGCTTTATTCAGTGCAATCACAACACTCTACTACGCAAGCGCAACACAATTGCTCCCTACTTTAAAACAATACATTCCCACTTTTGTTAGTGATAACACCGAGACAACACACGGAGTACAGACGTACAGTGATAACACTTACCTTTAACTTGTCGCCTGATATCGGGGGGAACTGCGGTCGCTTGCTGGCCACGGGCTCTTCTGTGTCCATGTCCACTCCATCTTGTTCACGTTTTCGTTTCTGAGTCTTTTTATTTTTTACCTTTGTGAAAGAATCCGCCTCCTCTTTACTCTCCACGGCAGCGGCAGCGGCTGGGGTTATATGTGTATCAGTGTCCATCCCGAAATGAGTTTTAAATGAGATTTAAGAAGAAGAAAGTGGAAGACACAACGGCCACAGAGGCATGAGGGTGTCCTCGTGCAACGAAAAGGACCCCAAGAGCCGCGTTGTCGACGACTGTAGAGATAAAATAATGAATACTCGTGTTATAATTCACAAAGATGTATCACTGGGTTACTAGTGTTTAGTTGAAGTTATAGAATGTCCGCATACAATGTTTTTGTATCTCAAGTAGTGAAATATTTACTTGAGATGAATACGTTTTGTCAGGCATCTCTTCAGGCAGCCGCACGCTCAAGCGTAGGATTGTCCCGACGTCACTTGTTTTGGCAGCGAGCTGCATTGGACGTTTCTCTTGGTACTTTTACAAGAAGAATTATTTCGTTTTAACATATTATCTCCCAACAGCAAGGATGTCATCGCCACTGTCAAAGCCTCAGATTATTGCGCATATTCAGAAGAGTTTGAACTACACGGTGTTTGACAGTAAATGGATTCCCTGCAGCGCCAAGTTTGTCTGTCTGGGTAACTTTCCTCGAGGAACCGGAGTAATGCAAATATATGAAGTGCAGCACGGAGAGGCTCAGCTTATCAAGGAGGTAGATAACACCTCAACAGTTTACTCTTGTTTGCTCTTGTCCCCCTTTTTCTCTCAGAAATTCAGAATGCAAGCGGCTTATTTTAGGGTTAGCCTAGCTAGCTTATCTAAGGTTTCTAGAAAAGTCTTGCTGGAGTCTTGTCTCCATGGCAACAGGCAACATAAAGACAGCTAATGACCTCTAACTAACTTAACGTTAGTCAAAAGTTTAAATATAACGTTATATATATATATATTACTAATGGTGCTAGGACTGTTGTTAATATACATTATAAAGCTTAAACTTATTGGCCTGCCCACTGCACCTGCCCCCAATTAAGCACTAAGTAACAGCACTATCTGAGGGGTATTTGGAGGTTTACAACAAGGGCTGGGTCAAACTGTGGAGGGGGCAGAAACAAGACTATTTGTATATATGGCTTAATACATGTCTGGAGAGGATCTTTATCGTGTCTTTGAGCACAGTACCTCAACATGCTCTTACACACCCGTAAGAGCATGTGAATGAGAGTCAACATGAGCATGTAGTAGCATGGAAAAAGCTTTCATCACAGCACCAGGGTTTGGAGGCTTTGGTGAAGAAATACAGGACCCTGGAGTAGACCCTGGTGTGGATTCATCTAAATTTCTGCTCAGTGGGTTAATTATATGTGGGTCATTTCAATTTAATAAACTGTCAGGAACATTTTTTATTGCTGTCATACTTATCTATACTTTACTTAAATGTAGGGTGTTTGCCATAATCATTTCCTCTTATATGTTTCAGATAAACAAACCAAAACCCATAAAGTGTGGGACATTTGGGGCGACCTCTCTTCAACAAAGACACATAGCAACTGGGGACTTTGACGGAAATCTCAATATATGGTATTGTATCCACACCCACTAATGACACCTTCTGTAATTAAATCACAAACAACTAAATTAAAAGCTGTTTTAATTCCAGAAGCTCTATTGCACAATTATTCTTTCTATTGATCATTAAAATTCTGTCTGACTGAAGTGAAAATGAGTTCACACTGACCCTCTTGTCCACAGGAATCTGGAGATGCCTGAAGTGCCTGTGTACACTGTAAAGGCCCACAAAGAAATAGTGAATGGTATTGATGGTGTTGGCGGCCTGGGGATTGGTGATGGAGCACCTGAGATAGTCACTGGAAGCAGAGACGGTAAGGGCATTAAGTTAAATGTAGTTTACAATAAAAACATTTTCAACGCATTGACATAAACAAATGTAAATACAAATACAAATTCCCTTGTGCGTTACAGGGACAGTAAAGGTGTGGGATCCCAGACAGAAGGATTCGCCTGTAGCCAACATGGAGCCCATGGAAGGAGAAACCAAGAGGGACTGCTGGACTGTTGCATTTGGTGTGTAAAATATAGGTTTTCAGCCTTTGAAAGTCTTGGGCCAGTTTCAGATACCTGCTTTCCAAATACATCCTCATACTATAAGCTCAGGTTTATGCATATACTCAAATAATGGGTGAAGAGCGTTCTGGTTCTGCAGAGCAAAAACAATTATCCTCCCACTCTCATGCTACGCCCTGTGCACGTAACAAAAGAATATCAGACTAACAGGCAAAGCACAATAATCTGTGTGCACCAGTAAAAATGTAGCCCTAAAACTTAGTTTGAGTCTACTTTCTTTGATCTTTTCCAGATATACCTGGTGTTTTCATCACTTCAAAGTTCCAAGCCAGCTATGAAAGTATTCCTTCACCATCATGAATGAAAACTGTCTTCATTTTCCTTTGACCCTCTCATTACAGGTCATGCCTTCAATGATCAAGACCGCTGTGTGTGCGCTGGCTATGACAACGGGGACATCAAACTCTTTGATCTGCGGAATATGTCTCTCCGGTGGGAAACCAACATTAAGAATGGGGTGAGGAGAACACTTACATTTGAAATGGTTGAACATGTGCCATGTGATTTTTGGGAAGTTGTTAAATATTTCAGGGTAATATTTTCCATGTGGCACCACAGCAAGAACATTACAAATATTTCTGAAGAAAATGGAAACTCAGACTGACAGTGATTCAGTCGACTCAGCTCTGAAACACAAAGAGTAGTCCTCATTTTCAGAATTGATGTTTTTATTAGGATTTACTGAAACAACATACATTGTTTCTTTTGCACTGCAACCTGGACTTGAATCATAACATAGACAAACACAGGGACAGAGCCGAAAATTACTTCCCAGCAAGATTTAGACTGTACATAAAACCACAGGGGAAGTCTGAGGTGAATGCATGTTCCCTTCATACGCCATATACAAAGCACTGCACTGATTTTATTACACAGTCATCACCTCATCAACGTAGAGGAACCAGCCAGGGGTCATTATGTCCATTTCAACACAAAATCCTTTTACGATAGATTCATGCCATGTGATACATGTCCTGGGAGTGACTGTTATTCTTTCTTACATCATGACCAGGTATGCTGTGTGGAGTTTGACAGGAAAGACATCAACATGAACAAGCTAGTGGCCACCTCACTGGAGGGAAAATTCCACGTCTTTGACATGAGGACCCAGCACCTCACCAAGGGCTTCGCCTCTGTTTCCGAAAAGGTAATTGACCTGGGTGGAGAGAGCCAGACGGGTGTTTGGCTCCTGTGTATGGGAAAAATGTCAAAAGATTGTTATCGTTATTATTACTTTAACATTTGTATGGTACAGAGGGAAATGGGGGCACACGTCGTTTTTGACCGTATTCACAGCTGGAAGTGTTTGGGGTCGTGTTTGTCTAACATTCTCTGCGGCTTTGCGACACTGGCCAAAAATGACACTCGGCCAGTGAGCAGAGAGAAGTGTGGCTTTTTGTGGGAAAATGCTCGAAAAACACACTTAAATCGGCATTAGGTCGTAGCCCTGCTCGCCGAGTGTTTGCTAAGTCTGAGAGATCAGAGGCCTCGGCTTTCTAAATATTTGTCCTGTTCTTCTGAGAGATCAACAGTTGGCACATCAGTGTATCCAACCATGAATTAAAAGGTTCCACCAGATATTTTAAAAACAAGTAGCATGTAGATGGAAATCTGGCTAGTGGATTCTGAAGGCACCATTGCTGCTTTTGCTAGAATATTTTAAGTTGTATATGTTGCTGTATATTTATGGTATTTTTCCACTTCAAAATACGTAAAGGCAAAGTAATGGCTTTTCACAATGCAGTTTGGCCAGTGGACACAGCATTTGGGAGGGTGGGGGCAGGGGAAAGAGACCTGATAGCAAAGATCATACTAGGTATACAGACTATTCCATCAATGATGTAACTTTGAACAGGGTTTAGTTTTAAGTCAAAAATGTGTAATGGACAACAATCTTGATAAAATGACAGCAAGGCAACATTATTTGATCCTCAGCAGATTAAAGTTTTGCATGTCTTGACAGGGGCCAGGAATGATTTTAAAATTACTAACTGAACTGTTTCGGGAAGCAAATGATCTCTCTTCTTTTTTTTAGGCTCATAAGTCAACCATCTGGCAGGTGAGGCATTTGCCTCAAAACAGAGACATCTTTATGACTGCAGGAGGAGCAGGCAACCTTCATTTATGGAAGTAGTAAGTAATCCACCGTGTATTGTCCCATTTCAAGAAACACAAGTACTCATCATGATGGCTTTATAAGAATCAGATTTCCTGCTTTACCAGACACTAATCTATCAAATATTTTTGGATGTAATTTCCAGTGAGTACCCCGCTCAGAGGAGCAAGAAGGACTCAGATGACGTGGATGTGGGCGTAGCTGGCTCTGTCAACCTCTTACAGAACGTCACTCTGTCCACTCAGCCAATCGCCAGCCTGGACTGGAGCCCCGACAAGCAAGGCCTGTGTGTGTGTTCGGGCTTTGATCAGTCTGTTCGCGTGCTCATTGTCACTAAACTCAACGTGGTGTGAAAAAGTAGAACAGGACAAAGACGGATGATACAGATCTCTGCAGCCTGATACGAAATGAGACACAACTGCAGAGACGCAGCAATAGTCACTGACCTATTGTGAGGCTGGATTGTGTGAAAAGACAACAGTTTCCCATTGCAGGTCTTGGCAACTGTCTGTTTAGATTTTGTACATTTGATACGCATCTGTAGACGTATCTTGTCAGAAAATGATTTAACTCAAATGAACTGGCTTTGTTGAGGTTATTTTGTCTGTTTCCCTTAAATGATATCCCTGAAGAATGGGCTTGGTTGAGCCCTGCAGCCAGTGTTATCCTGTAGTGCAGAGAAATACCCCTGTAACATTTATTTCCCATATTATTATTATTATTATTATTATTATTATGACTATTGGGATGCAGAAATGAGTCATCTAGCCTCTGGCTTGGAATCACACTTTGGGGATCAAGATTTAATTTCTTCATCAGTTTCCATTCTGTATTCATTGTTATAGGACGCTCATTGAAACTCCTGTTTTTTGTTGCACTATTGGTGAACAGTGTTGTACTTCAGTTTTGTCGATTGTTAAGGTTGTCACTTTTGATATGTCATTTTTTATTAAGAACTCTGTTTTCAAATTAAATGTGCCTTTGGAGAAAAAAGAAGGAAAAGAAAAAGAACAGTTTCTCTGTATCTATGAACACACAGTGTTTCTCATCGGCTCAGGACAAAAGATGTGTCTTTTTGGTACACAGCATGCACACTGACTCACTTAAGGATTCAAAAAGATAAATAAGGGGATTTGTTAGAAGGTCACAAGCATCATATCCAGCATTTGAACTTGAAGAAATCCTGAAGCTCCTGGTCGTCCTCCTGTCTGTCGTGGATCCTTGCATAGACACTCATCAGCAGCTTGGTCATGGACTTTCCATCCAAGATGTCGATGTATTTGTCTATGCAACCTAAAAACACAGCCACAGATTAAAAAATGACTTTTAACTATTTAATATATGAAGTTTCATTTCAAAATATCATCTGAAATGTTAGTCTAACATCTCATTAGAAAGTTTATGTATTAATAATAATAACATATTGAACATCTTAAGATAATTAAATGATCATAACCTGACCTTCCCTGTCCCTGACATCATGCTGCATGTATCTACTCTATGTAATGTCACGCCATCTATCTGACCATGGTACGAGTTGAATGTAGTACATCTCTATAAATAGTAAGTCATGGACTGTCACATGGGCCTTGCTGCATGATTTCAACACTAAACACCACAATTGTTAAATATAGTCAAGATGATGAAGATGGTCAAAAAAAGAAGTGTGGTTTGCAAAAAAAATTGTATATGCAGTCTTTGTTTAATTTTGCCTGTCATTCAAGATGGGTGGAGGTTGTTACATGGTATCATTTTCAAAAGAATATGAACGTTCCTATTTTTCTTTGGCTAGCAATCTTAATATGGCATCTGCAAATAATGTTGTGTGTGTCTTAAGAAATATATTAATCATTCTTTATTATTATTATTTTGGGGTCTTTTTTATTGCCTTTATTTATTGGCAATTTATATTGATAGAGCAGCTGAAGAGTGACAGAAAGTGGTGAGAGAGAGTGGGGGGGGATGATGTTGGAATCGAAGCTGGATGGTAGGGACTATTCTGTCTTTTATTAAAGTAAGTGTCCACTTGCTTAAACTTTAAAATCACTTTATTCTGACTAATAATTTAAAGCTGCAGGAGGTAACTTTTATAAAAATTATTTTTTTTGTCATATTTTCTGAAACTTTAATTAGTACAGTAGTACATGTGTTACAGAGTCTGTGATAACTATCTTTTTTTAGATCTGACTGGTTGTTTTGTCTCATAAAGTTTCAACAATCCAAAAAAAAAGTTATTTTTATAAGTTACCTTTTGTAGCTTTAACTTTAATAAGAGTACTACTACTGCTTACAAGACTAATATTACTTAGTCTACAGTATTTCGAATAAAAGTATAATAATAGTATAATATAATAATATAACAGTAATCACTTAGGCCCATGACTTTGCCGTAGGCTACAAGGCTGGGGCCCAGCTGAGGGTGGTCGTACTGCTCCAGCATCATCAGCATGCGAACAATCTCTCCGGTGATGAAGGCATCATCGAAGCTTTGCTCGGCCACAGGCTTCAGGGGGAATCTGCAGTACACCTCCACTGCAGCCTGAGGGTCTGAGGGTTCCAGCAGCTGCACAAGCTCAATGTAGGCATCGTGGACCTGGACAGGAGGTTAATTCATTAACTATCTTATCTGGATTACATCAGTTGACATCAACACCAGGCATCAGCTGCTTGTAAAGCTCTATAAATAACTACTTACTTCTAAAAAAAAATAGAAGTAGACATTCCCTTTGAAGTGTGATTCATTCCATTTTTATGACCGCATAATAACCTGATAAGAAAACTTGTCAATTGATCAACTAGTCACATTTCTTCTGCTATATTAGTTTTTTCCCACATTTTAAATATCTCAATTTAAAGAGCTTCTTATAGCCATGACACATAATTCAGGTTTCAATAGCTTTTATCCCTGAGGTGTCAACCATTCAGGAACAAACTGCTTTCTTGGCATGATCACCACATGCAGTATAAAGATAAGATAGGATAAGATGTACCTTTATTGATCCCCGTAGGAGAAATTCTAATTAGACACAGCAGCATAGGGGAATGTATTCTACCATTTACACAGTAGGTTTTGAAAATATTTTGGAAGACCAAACATTGTGTAATTTTCTAATCGGACCGAGGAGCGTGTGATCATTACACTGGAATGAAAACCAAGAGTCAAACAGTTGGGGGTGTGTTATCTTACTTTAAAGCCACTGTTAGCTGCACTGTAAAAGTACTGAGGAAATAACCGAAATCTAACTGTAACCGATAACAACTGACCCTTGGTGCCATGGAGATGACCTCTTGGTAGAGCTGCTTTGCCTGGTCCTGGGTGTCTGCAGAGCGGGAGAGGGCGCGGGCCAGACCCAGCCGTGAGATATGACAACTGCGGTTTATCGGGCTGAACGCAGTCGCTGTTTCTGCCACAGCAGGCTCTGAAACAACGATTAATACACACATGAAGTATAATTACCTTCTTTGACAAACCCAGGAAGAAATGTTTCCTGCTGATGTTATTTCATGTCATAGATGACGCAGTGAAACAGTTTGCACCGTGATGATGCAATGGGACATCACATTATCTACATTTTAACAGTTATCATTAGGATTGGGAATTTAATATATGTTTTAGGGTGAATTGTACATTGGGACATACAACATAAAGTAAGTAAAAAGAACAAGTGAAAATAAACAAAAAACATGTTTCAACCATTATTAGAGTGTGTCATCTGTAATAGAGTATATAAGACCCAAAAATAAAGATTTCTTTCTATAAAGTAATGAAAAACTACAACTAAGTATGGCTTTTACCTGACTATGTATGTCATTCTCAATGCTTAAGTCGTGCCTTACCCTCTGCTGTCTCAACAGTAGCGGGGCAGCACTCCTGTTTCGACTTGCTGGCTTGTAGCTGAGGTTTAGTACCGTTGCTAGCAGGTCTAGCTGATTTATCTGGTTTGGCTGCTGCTTCAGCTCTCCCCCTACAGGAGAGAAAATATAATACAAAAGCTCTTAAGTGGATACACAAGTCTGTTTATGTTGTTTAGCAATACGTTTAATTTTTGCTCATACAGAAAGTATGGCATACACATCACATTTCTGTCAGTATTAAGGTCTAGGGTTTTGATTTTATACACGTACAAAACAGATAGTGTAGTCCTCAAACCTTTCAAGACCTGCAAATACTTACATAACTCAAATAATTAACAACAACTAAACAAACTAAAAACGTGTTCCAGTGAAGCTGCCCAGATTGACAAATAGTAAAAGATTCTTTTTGTACTTGAATATGAAGCAGGATGGAACTGAGAAAAGTAAGCATCCACAGGAAATCATCCGTGAATAAATATGTGCCAACTAACATCCAAAGACAACCACATAACAGGGCTGCCAAACGCTTGACTCAAGCTGCCAGCGTGACTCACCTGGCTGCAGGGGTTTTGGCTGTAGGCCGGACAGCTTTCCCTCCCCTGATGGGGGCTGGGGGCGTTGGAGCAGGAGCTTTGGTTACAGCGGCTGCCACCCGCCCTTGAACAGGCCCTCCCCTGCCTCGCTTAGCTCCTCTCTTGGCCACACTGGTGTCAGAAGGCCCCTTCACTCCTGCTGGCTGGGTGATGGACAGCTTGGCAGCTTTCTCGTTTTCAGTCTCCTGGCGGTCCTGCCACCACTTTTGTTCTGAGCAAACAGGGCATGATGGATGTGGTTGCAGACTTCATTTTCGAAAGACCTTCATAATTGTTTAACGTAAAGTGAACAGCAGAGACACCTTTATCAACATATCATATACAGCCTGATTTGTCATGAAACCAATGGCTTGTATATCATTTTTACATGCATGTAAGATTAGACTCATCTCTACATAATTCTCTGCTGTGATTCTGAGTGAGATCAAAGACAGTAAGTACACTATATAGACTCACTTCTCAGCTGTTCAAGCGGCTCTCCGCTCTGAGTCTTCTGTTCCAGCTCAATGCTGGCCTGAAAGCTGAGGCAGGCATCATTTATGGATTCCTTTGACCTGTTTGCATTTGGGTTGTTGTCATATTGAGCCAGCTGTGCCAGACCCAGAAGACACAGGGCGTGGCTGTCCCGCGGTGTGGTCACTACTGCTAGCTGGCAGGCCTGTATACAACAGCAGGGGGAGGTAGGCAGAAGGTACAAGTCTGATTTCTCCATCACATCAGGACATAAGAGTCAATATATGGACTAGTTATGCTTCATGCTTCACTGGACAGTAACCCAAAACACTGGTGAGCCAATATCACTGGTAACATGGGTATTGTCAGCTTTGCAAAACAGAAAAATACAAAAAACCAAAACAGATTGTTCATATATAAATAAAACAAATACACATTCTGTACGTCTTCTTGCCTCACTGAAGACTCTTACCCGCTCCTGCATGTCCAGCAGTTCCTGACAGGGGGCAATAGAGGTAAGACGTATGAGAGCTGTGAGGGCCTGGCATCTTTTTGCAACCAGGGACTGTCTCTCCATGTCCGACTTGGCCTGGCGCTCACCCTGCTGGATCAGCCTCTGCAGCAGGGCAAATTGAGCATCCAGGAGCACCCACTCCAGCTGCCCGCTCGCCTCACCACGACACACACACTGACTCACACTCTGGGCAGTCAGCACTGCTACGCTGAAGCATTCCAGCACAGAGACAAGCAGACACAGGGTTTTTTTTTTATGCAGTGCTTAAACACTTATCAAACTGGGTCACATTGGTGTGAATGTTGAGACTTTTCTTTGAATCACACGTTCACAATGGAGAGGAGTGAGACGGCTAATTGGGGCTGAGATCCACCACAAACACAGAGTAAAGAGGCAATATCATCATATCATAATATCATTACTTCTGGTTTGTGACATACGTGTGATAGACCTGTTCCGCACTCATGGCCTTCTCAGACAGGGTGTCTCTCTGCTGGAGCTGGCCCAGAGTAAGAAGGCCTCGCAGGAATTGTGTGCTGAAGCTGGACAAAGGGTCTGATGGATCCTGTTCCACCCAGCTGGAAACAAAATCATTACAAAGACTGGCAGCACAGAACAGCCACGATGATCATGATAAACTTACATACAGGCAAAACAGAAAAATACAAGACATCGGTAGGAGCTCCTTGATTATAAAGCAACCACTCAGTAATCAGTCGACCAGTTAGCTAGCTGTTTTCAACTAAAATCTGCTCCCCAACTCTAGACCTTGAAATGTATGTTTTTTTTAAATCCATCAACTGGTTGACAATGCAGATGGTCTATATGTGTATGTGTAGACTATGACAGTGTTTTTCACTACCCTATTCTCCCCTCTGCAGGCTTAAACAGAACATCCTGGTACATTACTGATAACGTCCTGCCCTCACACTCTCTTGCTGAATGCATCCACCTCCACCACACATACACACATGTAGACACACACACACACACACACACACACTTGCAAACCTTTTGCTACAGCGCTGGCTGACAAAGTGCTCCAGTCCCTGTTGTAAGAACAGAGCAGCCTCCTTCTCTGTGTCCTCGGAGGCTTTCTGTTCCTGCTGCAGCAGAGCCAGCCCTGTAAAGAATCTGAGAAAATGGTGGAAACATAAGAGAGACATTGAATACCAAACTAGCTTGGACTAATTTTTACATATTAATCTAGACCACATTTACCCCTGTTGAACTGTCTACTCCTGTATTTTCCCTTTCACAACCACTGTATGATTATATATGATATCATATAAGGGTTATAGGGGAGTGGGCAATTGAAGAGAAGGTTGAGAGGTTAGTCTTTACAGTGTTAGTGACACAGAAATGGATATCCATGCCTTCACCTCTTCATAATCAATTCCTGCTTTAGCAACAAGTCAATACCTGAGCTCCAGTTTAAAAAAAAAAAAAAAGGTTTCCCTGTAAGAATCAATTTTAAGATTAATCGCTTGTCAGGCACAGCATGGCTTTGCTCCTAATTATATTGTTCTCCTTAGGTTATATTTCAGATATTCTTTCTGTCTATAAGCCAGTGCACAGTGTGAGATCGTCAGGTAAAAAAACCTCTAGCAGCATGGATACATTTAATGAATTATGGTCATTATTATTACTATTACAGCTACTGACACAATCATTTATTTGCTTCCACAACCAACCACACTTCTGTGACCTGACCTGAGTGCAGGATGAAGAGGCCGCAGTGCCAGGCCACTCTGGAGGTGCTGCAGGGCTTCCTTGCTCCTTCCCTGAAGCAGCAGTAGCCTTCCTACTTGGAGGTTGTACTCCCAGCTGTCAGGACTCAGAGACCAGGCATCCAGGTACTTTGTCAGGGCCCGGTTGACACAGCTCTCTTCATCCCGCACCGCTGCACGGCTATCCTGGAACAAGAGAAAAAAAAGTTTAATTTAATCCCAAACAGCTTTATAGAGCCATAAATATGTGTCATGGCAGTTTCTTACTTAAGACAGAAAGCAACATTAAAAAGACATAATGCATAACTTAAATATCTGCAACCTGTGACGGTTCCTAGTGAGTCCTTATGAAAGAGGTTGCTTTGCTACATCTAGAAATTTAAAATTGTGTCATAATCCGCTTTTTATAAATCAATTTGCAAACTAATTAGTTTTGGTTGGATGAAGTTATTTGAAGTAGTCGGCAATGAAAGAATATTATTAATATCTTTCTAAGACTTGGTGAACACTATAATGTCCTTTTTAAAGACCATGTAAATGTTTTTTGTAATATCCTGAGACCCTGAACAATATAAGCTCACAAAAAGGGTTAGGGTGGCTGTATAGGGTCATTCATAATAAGCCATATAGCAGGTCTCCTGATGTGTTCCGATGTCCAAGACACTGATCTGAGAGAGATAGAGCAAAGCCACAACAGAAGCTGCACATATGCACAAGCTATAAGACAGCAGATGATAGACGATAAAAAAATGGTATAGTTGAGTTTTTGCCCATTGTGCCTTTTTTATTTTTATCTTCCATGTGTCTCTTGAAAAGTCAAGAAAGCACTCTAAACAAAAAAAAAACCTTTATGCCATTTACTTTTCAGGTGTTCCACTGGTGCTGCTAAATACAGCAAGTAATGTAAGCTTCAACAATATTAGAAGCAACTGTGGACACAGTCACCTTGCCAGTTTTCTTGGAGAGCCAGATGTAGAGTGTCTGGACATAGTCTGCCTTGCTGGACTGTCCCTGCTCTTTGAGCTGCTGATACTCTTTGTCCAAGGCCTGCAGCTGGTTCTGCACCGTGGGCGTACCAAGGAAACCATGGAGCCTGCACACAGCCAGGATGTCATCCTGACGTGCTGTTGATTTGGCATCGCTTAATTCATCTCTGTCTCTGTCTGCCTGGAGACAAAACAATGAAAAGGTGAGAGAGGGCTTTTGGCTGCCCGATTCACTGTTCTCAAAAACATTTTCAGCAATAATATGAGTCATTATCAACATTAAAAAATGTAGTGTTAAATGTTAAACTGTCAAGATGAAACGCCCATTCACACTTTATTTGCAAAGCAATACTATTATTATATTTGTTATAATATTTGTTATGGTTTGTTAGACTTTATAAAGCCCAAGACTTCCACATGCTTCACATGATAAAACAATTTTAATTACAATAATTAAGAAATTGATCTTTTTTTCAGAACATGTCAGATGTGTTTGTGTTGGCAGGATATGGAAAAGAGTAGCTGGCTCGGTGTGGGTGGGAAAGCCCTTGAGCTCTTTCATCCTTGAGGGCCACCTTTAGGGGACATTCTGTACTGAGCAACTGCCAGGTGTGAATGTGTCAGTGCTCTTTAGTCATGTATCTTTTGCTACAGCTAGTAGTAGTATGTGCAAACCATTACAACACGTGACTGAAAGAGCTTGTTTACCTTCCTCTGTAGGCCATACATCTCTGAAGCATAGTGTTGCTCCTCCAGAACGACGCCCAGAAGGAAATGGAGTCTGGCATCTCTGGAGCTGAGTCTGATAGCTGACGCATAGTGAACAGCAGCCTGCTCCAGGTTATGCAGAGGAGACTGGCCGTCCTCATACTGCAACATGTCTCCTGTGGTATATCGTATGCACACATCGGATAACAAGACCAGAGAGTATTTGCATATATATGTGAGAGAATTTGGATAAATATAGAGCTAATATAGTCACTGTGACCTTATTCTCCTTTGTACAGGCAACAGCAGCTTTAGGTTTACTTTAAATAACAAAACCTTTTACATACTCAGTGGACCTATCATGCCTGTCATGGGTTACTTTTAACTGAAATAAGAGCCCATTTCGAGATGAGTTAACTAACTAGAGCAGGAACAGCCCATGAAAAGGTTGCATATCAGAAACTAGTGTGATGAGGCTTATTAGACTATTCAAATGTTTTGGAACCCAGGTTGCTTGCTCACAGCACAGTGATCCATTGGTGCAAAGCTGCAATGCAAGCTGGGGAGGAAGGTTTGGTTCCAAAAACTACAAGCTGGAAAGCCAGAAATCTTTGCATCTGGCAACAAACAGATTACTTAGTGATTATTTTACATTATAAACCTTTAGAAACGTTTTACTGCACTAACTGTGCAGAAATTGAAGAATATGTATTATGTGTCTGCCACAAAAAGCCCTGAGTGATATCGAAATACAAAGATTTTATTCCTATTTTTCATGTTCTATTTTTATAACTGAAAAAGGAAAGAATATATCAGTCAGTATTTCATTATATAGGATAATGCAATCCTTTACATTTAGGTATCTCTAATTGTAATTATGACTGACAATGGGTTTTACTTTCATTTCCGACTGCAGAACAAACTAACAGCGACTTCAACAATTTGGTTGTTTTTCCTGGTTTACGCTCTCGTGAAAAGGTTTGTTATGTTTCACTCTTCCACCTTTGTTTGAAACAGTGTTTGTTTCAGCACAAACACAGATCGCTGTATCATGAGGAATAAAGGGATCTCTCATTCGGCCGCCTTCTCTCTTTCATTTATGAATGATTGCATGCATCCTTTGCATGAAATATTGTGTGTAGCTTCCCTTGGCAAGAGTGCCCTTTATCTGTCAGACAGCACTGATGTCACAGCTTTTTTAATCCAGATAATATTGCAAAAATAACCTATTCTGCAGCTGCTGCTATATTAAAAGTCATGTTTACCAATCATTTTTTGTAATTTCTTCATCTGATATGCTAAATTAAAAGAGTCCTCTCAGTTAATGAGAAATGTGCTGTGCTATGATAGGCCATATACATACACCCATCAGCCATAACATTATGACCACCAGGCTGCCCAGGTGGTCATAATGTTATGGCTGATGGGTGTATGTATATGGCCTATTTTTCCTGCTTCTAACACATCAACTATGAGGACGAAATGTTCACTCGCTGCCTGATATATCCCACCCACTGACAGTTGCCATGATAACCAGATAATCAGTGTCATTCACTTCGCTCATAATCGTATGGCTGATTGATGTATGCACCTAATGTTAATATCTAAAAATTAAATATTGATATCCCGTTCCCCAGCCTTGATAATACAGAAGTTATACAACATGATCTTTGTGTTTTGCAGTGACACAACATAGGAGGTCAAGCTGAACAACACTTGTCATCGTCCCCAATGCAGCATGATCTGGTACAACAGTAAACCTTGTTTATATTTCAAGAGGTGACGATTAACTGTCCCTATCACTCCCTATCTCATACCAACTCTCTCTCTCTCTCTCTCTCTCTCTCTCTCTCTCTCCCTCTCTCTCTCTCTCTCTTTGGTGTTACTTCTCGATACGGTTCCAGTGACTTTCATTCAGTCCTCTGGGATCCGTCTCGAATGTCACTTCTCAGAGTCATCAAACAATTAGCCAGGCACAAGTAGCAGAGAAAAGATGAGCAGTAACTTGAGTGCCTGGCGCTCGCTAACTAGCCCATTTTCATGTATTTTTTAATGGCTGAAGCTGAGCTCCTGTGCCAAACCAGGGCAAGGAAAATTACTCTTGTGTCCACTGGACAAGGAAATAAGTTATATCACTGTTGCAATTGATACTGGTTGACAACAGACTTTGACAGATTAGTTGTCTTCCCTTTAATATCTGATCCTTTATTCTTAGAAAGTGCTACATACCTGGTTTTGGCAGGTGTTGCCGGTAGAGTTTCAGGTGATCCTCGGCCAAAGCACATAGTTTATCCACGCTGTCTTCTCCTGCTGTCATTTGTAGTCTTTTCTCCCAGTTACGCACCTGTAGCAGACAAAAATCATCCACCCATGAAGTACAGTTATAGAAGTTAAACTAGGTCATATAAGAATGGGGTCTCTCAGGTGGAAAAATGTTTTTTCCACTTGAGAGGTAAATCACTTTATTTACCACAAAAACTTTTTTTCTGTAATGTGTGTCAATGTGTAACACTATGGAGATGTGAGTATGTTGTAAAATGGTGATTACGGTGATTATCTCTGCAAGATAAGGGAATGACTTGTAATATAAAGAAGTGTATACATGTAATATATAATATATACTGTTCAGTATATAATAGGCAGGATTAAACAATCAAGAATCAGAGAAAATAGAGCTGAATAGCCCTAAAAAAGTCACCATAATATGAAATGAAACGTGAGCCTACCTATGGAATCTAAGGTGATGTATCTACTGCAGTTTAACTTTATACTTATACACTGATAATGCAAAGTGAAATAGATGTATTACCTCCAAACTGTGTTTAGTCTCTATCTCCAAACAACTGGATGATGCAAAGTGCTTCTTATACCAATTTGTCTCTGTGACTTCCTGAAAATGAACATGAGCACAAGTGAGATGCATTTACTAGATTCAATCAATAAAACAATGTAAAGCTTTCAAATGGACTGACCTGGTGAATTTATTTAATATAAAGAGCTTGGGTTCTTTATTGTTCGCCATGGCTTAATAACAGTTAAGTAAATGCAAAAAACAAATACACAACTCTGCATCCCATCCTCTAAAAACTGCTCACACGCTCTGCACACAATTGACTGTTTTATTCACTCTCAGCGGTGTTACTATCGCACACACAAGCACAAGATACTTTTACTGTGAAAGTTAAACCAGCACTTACTCACTGTGAAGGGAGCGCTGACTTGTAAATAAAGGATGAGCAGAGCCAAGGTCGATAGGCGTGATTCTGGCAATGCAGGGCACTGTTTAATCTTTCATACTGACCTTTGCATCCAGGTCCCCTGTGGGCTTGTGTGGACAGTCCAGAGTGTGTGACCCCAGCTCAGAAAGTTTCATGACACTGTCACATCCTTTATTTTAAAAAAAAAGACACAATAAATCACACGCTAGAAGTAGATAGTGGTGTTGTCCTCCACTTCTGCAGTGGAGTGTAATAGAATAGCCCACTTAAAAGACACATTTGTGACAAGTATAATTGTGATTGCGGCTTTTTTACAGAATTAATTTATTAACTACTCTGATTTGATCAATTCCCTGCAGAATTGCTTCTCCTACAAATACAGGCAATCAGAACAAACTACTGAAGTAAACAAGTCTGTTACATGTCGTTCTGGCACCATTTTCTGTATTGTATAACTCTCCATAACTAACCCTGAACGTCCAAATCAATTAAACTTAGAGGTCTTCTTGGTTGTCCAGAAATCAATTACTCATCTTTCAAAGCGAGGCCTGATATAAAATGCAGCCTTACTCTCACAGCAGCTAGATACATGAGGTCTTAGTTAAGTAATAATATCCCCCTCCTTACAGCAACATAATAGTTGTCTACAGTAACATTGTGTTACATGATAGTATAAGTAGTGTAATCAGACTGCTTAGAGGTAAGGCAGAGTGTGTCCAGTATATTAACAATGTAGTTATATAAGCATGTCTTAGAGGTACAGCTGCTCTAGAGGTAGAAATAATTCAACTGATCTAGAAAGATGTCAATGGTGGAGTCAAACTGAGTGCAGGTTAACTGTGTACTCTTCGCAAGATATTACCTTCCTCCCCCTTTATGCCAGTTGCTTTTTTTCGCTAGGCTTTAGGCCAAAATAATAGTATCTATTACTCTACCAGTTGACCTTTAACTTAACAAGCTCTGCCTCCGCAGCAGTTCTGCTTTAGACAAATCTCTTTGAGGAGGTAAGACTCCATGCTTCACCTCTGTAAGCGAAGAAACACTTGACCAGAGCAGCCGACATCTTCCTGTCAAGGTCCAGTTCAACAACTTTCCAGCCGTCTCCCAGAGGATAATCACTAAGTGGGTCGACCTTTGATCTTCGTGCCAGCATCTCAATATAAGGCCTTGAGAAGATGTGCTTTGGGTCACTGCAAATCAAAAAGAGACCCAGATACATCTCGGCGGCATTTGTTGAACCATTACAGGAAGCAGTATGTGTGTGCTCTGTGATACTGAGGCGCTACACCATATAACAATTTTTCAAACTGTCAAATCAGGTAAAAAAGACTAAAATGATCAACTTCAATGGCTATCAATAAGCAAAGTGAAAGAAAATATTAATCAATATGCTAAATAAGGGTATGAGAAATGGCAAACTGAGATTGTGCATCTAATGCTGATTGTTGATCTACTGTTCACTTCTATTTATGTTGTTTTTTTATTTTACTATTGCATCAACTGTAAAGCACTTGTTTTAGATATTTTTTTTTTTTTAAAGAAATATGATATTTATTATTAAAGGAGGTAACTGCTGCTACAACATACTGTCTTCCTATTCAAGTTTTACCTGTGGTTGATAGATACAGGTCTATAAAAAGCAGTCAGAGATACTGGACATTCATAGTCCAGCTGCTGTTTCCCATCGGTGAAGGTCACAGCCATAGGAATGAGCTCTCGAGTCACCAACACTGTGTACACCTGACAGAGTGAGAGGGACGTCAGGTTTAGTACCAGTGCACCAAAATCAATGAGTGTGGCAGGATAGCACAGCATTATGAAACCTAAAATGAGCCAAAAGCATATTGTTATTTAGGAACATGGTGCAACTAAAAGTGTGTGTGTGTGTGTGTGTGTGTGTGTGTGTGTGTGTGTGTGTGTGTGTGTGAAGCTTACTATAGGTTACCATGTAGCTTGTTAGGTAAAGATGAGGTGAACTGCAAAGCTAATATGTTTTGAAACATAATGCCACCAACTCAGGGCGATGATCAAACACACATGACACCTCAAATCACATCAGCAGTCCTTTTCCCACTGTCTCATCCTACCTGTGAATTACTGCCATCTGCTGAACAGACTGAGATCTCCACCACAATGTCTCCAAAATTCAGACGGACTGCCTGTGAGCTGTCTTCCCCATTCACTGTAACTTTAATGTGTTTGTCAGGCACCTTGGGAAGCAGGGTCACAGCATTGCAATGAAAGGGAACGATACCTGCAGAAAAAGAGATCAAAAACACTAGCAACAAGACAAATGTAACTTTTACCAACTGATACTCATAACACAGAAAATATACTGTATATACCCCTATAATATAATAAACATATATTTGAGCATTTATTACCACATAGTCTGAATTCTGAATTCACTGGCAACAGAACACACATTTCTGATTTTCTTCTGTAACTTTTTTTCAATTCTGTTCAAACAGTGTACCAGTGTATGTTATTTCTTTGTTCATTATAATGTTAAAGAATGTCCCGACAACGTACTGTACCTTTAACCCAACTGGATAACAGTAACTCAGTCAGGCTGTATCACATTCTGTCTGTACTCACTGTTGTATTCATAAATGTTGGTACAAAATGCAGGATAAAGTGGAATCTCTCCTTCCAAAGCGAGATTACTGAGTTCTGCAACCTTTGCAGACAACCTGGTGATCTCCACACAGTATTTCTTCACGGTGCCATCCTCTGCTACCACCTCGATTTCTACTTTGTTTATCCCATGGTTCAGTTTAATGGTGCTGGAGCCGTCCCCAAACAGCTGAAATATATACATTTTAAAAAAAAACTAGGTTAATTTTTATGTGTATACCAAATAAAAATGTCATACAACTTACAGGAAAGTACTCACAATACTGTATGAAGCTCCACAGTCACTAGTGATCAGGTCCAGAGTCACTTTGTTGACATTGCTCTCCACTGTCACGTTGTAGTCTGTGACTCCTGGTGTGAACGTCGGACGGAGCTTCCCAACAGAGACGCAGAGCTTCTCCAAATCACAGTTGTCCATATCTTAAGGTTCGTTCACGGCTGGTTTACTGGTGTTCAGCTACAACAGTGTGTACGGTCCAAGTCCTAAATGCACTTAAACTGTTGTCTAACATCCCAGCGCACTCACCTTCAATTACCGCACTGACGACCCAGGTTGCCATAGTAACTTGAACACCTCGGCTGCCTTCACATATTAAGTTACTATTAGCTAAAAGCTAGTTAGCTAAACGGTTGTAGCTGTTTTTCAGATGTATTTTAAACGCATTGTATGTGAGGAAAAAGCGCCGTCATGGTTAACACAAAATGATTCACAACATAATATGTTGTTTTTGCTAGAAATGATGATTAAAGCTGATCTGTCAAAACGTTGTTAAACGTAAATATAAAAGGAAAACAACCGTAGACAGCTGTGACTGTCGAACAATACCTCCAACACGGATAAAGCTGTTATCAAGCTAACTATGAAAAGAATATAATAATGCAAATGAGGGCTAATTAACGTTAAGTTGAGTTACTTCGCTCCTCCAAACGGCGGACGGCAGTAGCGTGCAGAAGAAGAAGAAGAAGAAGAAGAAGAAGAAGAAGAAGAAGAAGAGTGTTGTTTTCATACGTCACTTCCTGTTGGCTGAAGCGTGTTTCGTGCTGAAAAGGTAAAACAGAACTAACGTTAGCTAAATTACTGTTAAATATCGTCAGACTCCGCTACCCGTGAACCTGTATTGCCGTTCAACCAGTCATTTATAATGATCACATTATTTTTACTCATGTAACGTTAGCTGACTATAAACGTCCGCCTGTTATCCCGTTAGCAGCATGTGCAAGCTCTCTTTCTAGCTACCGTAGCTAGCTGACATTAACGTAAAGATTTGAATTTGAGCTTTTTGCCAGTGCAGTCTAATGAGACGGTCGGAGCAATGAAACAGAGCTACATAACATGTAATTATTTGACAGGAAAATGGCAGCGGACAGCAGGACTGAGGACTACCCTCATGAGATCGACGAACAGCTCACAGGCTTCGACTCCTCCGTTTCTTCTGTAAAAACCATGTTGGAGAAGTTGATGTCGATGCCCAGGAATGAGCTGCTTCAAAAGGTAGTCTGAAGACCGTCTTCACATTGTGACTCGTTAAATGTAAGATTCTGGAAAGAAAGAAGGAAAGCAGGCGGAGGCATGGAATAATGGTACCACAACAAATAATCAACAAAGCCTTAATTCATGTTATTAGTTACACCTGGTATTTCTTTCCTTTCTGACAAGTCAATATGTCACTTGTGAAAAAAAGCCTGCATCACAGACTGATTATGAGATTGGCAACTTAATTTACAAACATAATTGGTTGTGAAACATTCATCCACCCATCCTTCATTCACACCTCACTGTCCTGTCGAGGCTTGCAGGGGATTTGGAGCATCTCCCATTGGACTGCAGGCTGGGTACACCTATTCTCGGGGGGACATTTACCAGTTGTTTTGAACATTTTACATGATAAATATAAAATAATCTCATAAAATATGATCCATAGCTGTACCCAGAAGTCTGTGATTTAGATCAATCTAGTCCCTTGTGCACATGAACACATTTAACTTCTCCCTCTGTTCTGTTTTACTTCTGTTTTGTTTATTATATACTGTACCAAATGCATGTTTGCCAGTAAATAAGTTAGATTTTGTTTTATACAGCTGGTGCTAATTTAACTAAATCTGTTTTTTTGACAGCTGGACCCTTTGGATCAAGCCAAGCTGGATCTGATGTCTGCCTACACCCTTAATTCATTATTCTGGAGTAAGTTTTTCGGGATTCATTGTCATTGTCTTTGGATTTGAGGTATATATAGTTTGCTAGCTAAGATTCTCTGTCATGTCAATAATGTTGACTTGATATGTGTGTTTTCAGTAGGCAAAAAGCCAAATGCACTGCTTCTGTTATTTGTCAGTTTGTTTGTGCACATGCACCAAAGCCTAAGGAAACACTGTGAACAAGATGCATGTCATTATTGACTTCTACCAGTACAACACTCTAATTTGCCACATCATAGTTATTCTCATACTGTATCTAATCTTACAACAACGCGTGGCTGGGTTGAAATGACTGCACATGTTACTTAATTTCTTAAGTAAAGCTTCTGTGAGGAAATAAAATATAATAATAAACATACAAGCAGATTCATTTCTAGGGTGTGTATCCTAAAGAGCCCTGTATTGAATTTGCCTGTAGAAACTAAGTATCAGTATTCAGAATTTGGACATGTAGTCTTACATTTGCTCTCGTTTACAGTGTACTTAGTTGCACAAGGAGTAAATCCCAGAGAACATGGAATCAAACAGGAATTGGTATGTATCTTTCCTCTGTACTGCCTTTTGACATTTTCACTCATTCTCTCTATTTATGTGTGTTGTCTAATTTTGGTGTTACCATACTGTGCTCTTCAGGAGCGAATAAGGATGTACATGAATAAAGTGAGAGAGATCACAGACAAGAAGAAAGCTGCCCGTCTGGATAAGGGAGCTGCTGCACGCTTCGTCAGGAGTGCTCTCTATGAACCAGATGAAAGAGATTCTAAAAAGAAAACAGCTTCCAAGAAAGCCGCAGATACAACGCCTGGCACCCCGCGGGCAAAGCGTCCAAAACAGAGCTGAAGTAAATGAGGAGCTGTACAGTCTCCACTTTTTATGGGGCAACAAACATTTTTGCTCACTAGGCAACAAAGCAAATTGTGAATGTGTTACCGGGCATCGTACTGGACAACATGAGACATCAAAATACACATTGATGTTTGTTTGGGTTGCTCAACAGTCAAATAGAAGATCAGATTCTTGCTGACTGTTGCCCTGCAGCAGTACTAGAAACACAAGACCAACTACAACCTACGTCACACCATCCCAGGTTTTGCTGAACATATTTCTGATGCTGGCAACTGAATTTGATAGATTCAATGCTGTAGCATTTTTGTAATTAGTGCGCAAATCTACGGGGTTCTATAACCAAGAAAAATTTTTTTTTATTTAGAAAAGTTAGTAAAATATGAATTAGGTCCACCCAGGAATTGAAATATGTCATTTAAGATTATATCGTTCCTTTTTTTTAGATAAATGAGAAATGTTTCTCTGTATTTTTAAAAGGGGATTCTGTGAATCATAAGTCAATTTGGTTTGCAGTTTTTTTTACACAGGTGCCATGTGTCAAACGTATTGATAAAAGGTTTGTGGTGATGTATTGCTTCTACGATTGACTTCTGCATAAATAATCACCAGACATGATGTTTGAGTTGTTCCCTTTTTTCCTATTATACAAGATATTGTGCCTGAAACAGATTGATAAATCTTATATTAAGTAGTTTGGTGTAAGCTTCCAACTTTGCCCTTTGGCCCTTTTCCACACTGACATCTCATAGTAGGAAAAGCACAGGTGTAAGTAATAAAATGAATGATGGCTGAATTCTCTTTAGCCTGGTATCGTGCATACTGTCACACTGTCATGGTTTACACGCCTTGAATCCACCAGAGCCATCGTTAATCTTGGGATTTTCCTGCTATGACAAGTTGTTATCTCAGGTGTGAAAGGAACCTTTTTTCTCTGTCCTTTAGCACTTCAGTTGCCATATCCCATTCCAGAGTTACAAATTATATTAATAATATAATACTGAGAGACATGACTGTTTAGATAACTGGATAAACTGCTTAAACCATGACGAAAGGGCCGGTATAATTATATTAATATAACCTATATTGTGCTGCAGAACTCTAATTTGGCTACATGGCCGCCAACCTGACAGTACACTCCAAAGGGCCGAAAATGACAGTAAAATGCTTTTCAGTCAATCAATCTATCAAACTTTATTTGTATAGCACCTTTCATATAGTTTAGTGCTTGAGAGACAACTGACAATTCAATAAGACAGAATGCAATACAAATTAAATAAGGTAGATTTAAAAATAGAATACAATGATAAAAATGACTAAATACAATACTATTGATTTTGCAAGATATTTAATAAAAGCTATACTCTTTTTCTGGTTCTTAGTGTTATGTAAAGAGATTTAGCTGTCCACATTTTATTTGTGTCATCCCTCTAGAATCTGGACTGGTTACCAGTAGTCTGTAACAGGTCTGCATCTTACTGGCGATGTGTGTTCTTGAGAGACTTCAGTAAAAAGATTTGTATTGTCAAATTCTTCATACATAATCAATATAACACTATGTCCTTATGGTTGAAATTAAAGCAGTAAATATTATTAGCTGTTCCATAAAATGTTGTTTCCCAAAGCCTAACGTGATGCCCTCAAATGTCTTGTTTTTGTACCACAACCTAACAATAGTTTATTCAGTCATAGAGGACCAAAAAAGAAAATATTCCCATTTGAGAAGCTGAAATCAGAGAATGTTGACAGATTTTCTGAAAAAATTACTCAAAATGATTAATCAATTAACAAAATAGTTGCCGATTAAATTGATTGTTGACAACTCATCGATTAATCAACTAATCACTGAAGCACTAAATTATTGTAAAGCTGTTTTGTCCTGAGCTATAAGACATTTAGAACTATATAGAAGTTAACAAAAAAGTTGAGAGAGGTTGCTTTAGTAAACATGTTAATAATGTGTATCCTACTAAATACAAATAAAGCAGAGCATTACTTAATTCATGGTAGCAATTAGCACTGGCCCTGGTGTGGATCAAACCTGTGCCCTGTTGATTGCAGGATGGCCTCTGTAACCATCACAAACTGCTGTAGCTGCATGGCTGCACAGTGTAAGCGTAGGCCGTAATGAGACTTCCTCTTGTAAAAAAACCAACGTCACATTTGATAAAGACACCCATATTGCTTCCTTTTTGTAATTCCCTCTGGACAGCCGAGATCTTAATCTTAATGTACCCGCAAGTCACTGCATCCCTCTAATCAAGCCCAGGAAACAGTGAGGCAGTGAGTTAGATTCTCAGGAATGTATCTTTTCATTCTTTTCATCATCTTTCCTTTTCTCATCCTCCCTTCAGCAGCGTCCAAAAATGACATTTGTTTAGCCAAACCACCCGACTTTTTCCACCAAGTTGTTGTTTCTAACTGTTCAAAGACATGTGTCAAACGTTGCCTGATGAACAGCCCCGTCTGCATATTGGAAAAATATGGATTTTTCCACTTTTTTTTCCCCCCACTCTGTGATGTTTGCCTTTCTATGCCCTCTTCCACACATGTGCTCGGTATAAAGGAGTTAGGTCACTTGGTGAGCAAATTTGAACAAACAAACTCTCATGTCGAAATCGTGCGCCCCAACAAGCTCCAAACCCTGGTTTGTCCCACACTTGTTTATTTATGCTGTTTGTGAGCAGCTTGTGGTGAGGAAGTTTATATTATGTGGAGCAAAAGGCATCAGACCAAATGACCTCCTCAAGCAAGAAGAAGGGATAAGCAGCTTTCCTTTCAGACTTCTCTATCTCCTAAAAGGGTGAAATGTATGACAACAGACTGCATTAACCTGCTTGGAGCTCCAATTGATTTCACTGGGCTGATTTGTCAGTAAGTAGAGGCTGTGAACAGAGTTGGACTAACAATTGTTGCCATTTGATTCAAAAACCTCTAAACCTCTACATTTAATCATTAAATAGGTGTTTTATCTGTCATGCAATTTCTGGAAGTTCGAACACATGCACTCCCATCAGATAAAATCAGGAATTTGATAGGGAAATATATTTCTCAATCGCCCTCTAGAATTTGGCAGTTTTCAGCCCCATTGTGGTGGAAACCAAAGTGCTGATCTATTCAGAATAGAGATTTTAAACAAATCAGGAAGAAGTAAATGTTTTAGCTCATGCTAGTGTTCCAGTTTTGAAATGGAAACAAAATGGAATTTCGCTACAGCCGCACAACACTGTAGTTAAACAAAGTAAAACATATCCAAAATGTTGAGATTCAAAGTTTATTCATGAACTTGGACACCGCAGTTGATGAAATAATCTCACCACAAGGTCCATCTAGCAGAGTTTTCCAGAGCTTTTCGATCATATCACATGGTCTGCTACGTTATTTTTTAGTGTTGCACACTTCATTCATCACATCTATTTCCATGGGGAAAAATAAAATACAGCATCTTATTTAAGGCAGGTAATCTTGTGTCTGGGTGGTGTTTTATGATTTACAAACCTGAGGTGCCCATTACACACTTTAAAACATTTGATTGCTGCCTATGCTTCAGGGCCAGATGAGGTATGGTGGAGCCCACTGAAACAAGCGTTGCATTGAATAAGTGGGTGAAACTGAGAGTGAGTGAAGGACGGACGTTGCAGCTTTATTCTGTCTGACACACCAGGAATTCCATGCAGTCATATGTGCCACTTTCTATTCACCTTGGCCCCGCTGACAGAGTCGCTGATTAATCATGATAACAATGTTTTCCTTTTATTTAGCCCTAACCTCCCAGCGCCAGGACAAATGACTTTTTTTTGAGAGTCAGCAGGTGAGATTGAAGCTCAGACCACCTGGGTGTCCAACAGAAACTGGAGTTAGATTCTTTTTTCTTATTATTTTTAACTCTTTAGATTCTGTTATTGTAGTTTTATTTGTTGTTTTGAAGTGAGATTGATGTTTTAACAGTTAATCAAAAGAGATTTTTGGAATCACATTCTCAAGATCAGAATATCCTTTTGTCTCAATAATTTGTCTTTTTTTTTTTTTTTTTTTACTTAATTTGTCTGTTTTATTGTTATTGTTGCCCCCTTTTTCACAACAGCCATTTTGACATGAAATAGTAGGATAAACACAGGTGTTATCAATGATACTAATTAAGGCTCTGTTCCATTTAGTGTAGCTGGGCCTTTCCAGTGACCAACAGCCACAATAGCAGCACCCTGACTCTGTTTGGCCTAAATGAAACCTTAATTAGCATCATTGGTACCACTTCTCTGTACCCTACTATTTCATGCCATTCTGCTGTGAAAAAGGTCTATTGTCACCATTACATTGATGAGACTGTCTTTATTTCTTCCTTTCCTAGTCAGCATCACTTCTGTGTAAAGTTCAGTAATCAATCTGACACATTAGCCCTTTTCTCTTATTCTAATCCATCTATGTTGAGTTTCCGCAGTGTGTTACTTCTCAGCTCAGTTCCTCTGACTCACTTCTATGGGAATGTTTTTTAAATTTTCAACAATTAGTTGAAAAAGGGGGAGCAGCAGTACCTGGAAAACTTCATCAGAAAGAATACAAAAATCTCATGCACCATTCATAATTTTTTCGTTGCTCTCTCCCTTTTACTCTCTCCCTTCTCTCTCCCCCACTACTGTACGTCCCAGTGGGGTTTGGCAGCAGAAGAAAATGACGGCATGCTGAAAACATGCACGGAGTGAGGCCTTGAACCCTCCTCGCTAAACACATCACGTCATCATCATCGCACTTTATTGCATTTCCATCCTTTACATTACCTTACCCCTGTCAGTGTGTTTAATCTACAGAGAGAGAGAGAAAATACACAGAAATACTCCTCGCTCAGTGAGTTAGGGTTTGCCTGTCATCTGTCAGGCTTAAAGGAACTATTAGGGATGAAAACACAAAATCATTTTAGAGAATCAAGCCTGGGTGTGGAGGGTTATAGGTTCAAATCTATGGAATAGCTGAGAGAAGCTGTGTGAGTAAATGCCATCCTTTCTTTCTTTCTGTAGCTGTACAGACGAGATTCAAGCTTTAAATGTGTGTAAGTACTGTAGGAAATTGCTTTCAATTGCCTTTGAATGGATGAATCCATTTTTGAAAATTAAACATCCATATTAAACAGGGATTATTCATCTTCTCTCTCCCATGTGCAGACCAGCTTTATGATGATGTCACTCTGCGGCCATTTGAAGACCTCATCTATTACTGTGGCCCTGTATTTACCTCTGGTGTGGACCTCACTTTAAGAGGGAAACATAACAGTCCATATGGCTGCAATGTGAAATCAGGGCTTTTCTCCTTTAAACTATGGGCTTCCGTTGCATAAAGCCGCAGGATAACCGTTCAGCCATCAAAGAGCTGAACGCAAAACCATCTCTGTGTGTGTGAATGTGTGCATGTGAGCGTGTGCTTGTGTGTGGAGGATTCACACACACACACCACACACACACACACACACACACACACACACACACACAGGGAGTTAGGCAGCTGCAAGCACACTGTGAAGGCAGGAAAATGCTCACCGTTACACATGATGATGGACATACAAAGACACAGAGAAAATGGCTTACACGTGCATTTACGCACACTCAAGAACTGACTGGAGGTGTGTA